GTTCACAATTTAGCTATCATTGATGAGTTTATTTTTACTAATCAATTGATTTGTGTGCTGAAATCATGAAATCGCTTTATGTGTGGTATATATTGATCCATGACCCCAGTTCCGTATCTTATATTACATAGTAATACAGCTTTTTTTTTTATCATATTTGCCATAAGGTTTGTTTCATGGTTATTCGATAAAAAAAATGTTTTCATAGTAGAAAATTGCTGATCAACTTTCAAATGACCGTGACCTTCATTTCACGCTTGAATTGTCTGTAAAATGGTTGTAATTAGGTAGAGGCATGGTTCATTTGTAGTTGTTTCACACGAGGAGGAAAATCGAAAAGTGGATAAAATAAGGTACAATTTGAATGTTAATTAGTTCAAATAATATACTTGAGGGGCTTTTTTTTACTTTTTTTTGAAGTATTTGATACCGAAATGTTACGCAGTCCCGCACCTGATTTCAGCTCCCAATTGTTAACGCTCCATTTCTATGTAGCAAGTTTCCAGCAGCGCCTGGATATGAAGTTTATGTCTCCTATGACACTCGATATACGATATTCCAGAGCTTGTGTTTCCTATTATGATAGAGGATTGCTGCTTACAAGTCAGCTATTTAAGCAGGGTTCCAAGTGGTGAGGTTGAAGTCATCCTTTCGAAAATGTTACCGTCACCATAACGAGTTGGCTGACCTTTATGGAATATCGGTTTCACAAATTACAATGGATATGTTCCCCAATCCCGTTCACTTTTCCTCTAATTTGACACCTATCACCGAAATTGTACTTAAGGAGCTTCCATTTGATTTTTATGGGGGGGGGGGGGGGGGGGGGGCTATAGGATGAAAAATTTTGTCCTTGCATTTTTTTTTTTAGTTGTAATCTCTGCCTCCTTATTTTTCACTCTATTCGGTCCTGCCTTTTTATATTTTTGCCAAGTTGCGCATCCTGCCTTTTTTTTTTATACCCCCCCCCCCCCCCCACCCCCCACCCCCCCCAATAAAATCAAATGGTAGCTCCCTCAAACTGATGCATGAACAACACGACCGGTACTTACTCGTACGGAGCACCTGAGATCATCCCGCGTTTTATGGTTTTCTATGTTGTGTTTTGTATACTGTTGTTTGTCTAGTGGTCGTTCAATTTTTAGTTTTTCCATGGGGCGTTGTCAGTTTGTCTTCGACATACGAGTGTGAATATCCCTTTGCCGCGGTATCTTCCGTCCTCTTTTACCAGTGATGACAGTTGTGATTAAATATTGAAAATTAAATATTTAGCTCTTATTATTTTGAAATTTTTTATAACAATGCATTGGCAGTCATTTCAGGCGCGGATCCAGCCATTTTGGAAGGGGTGAAAAACCCCGGAACACCATGAAACTTTCACATAATAAAAAAAAATCATGGGAAAAGGGGGGTTTCAACCCCCGGAACTCCCCCTGGATGATCATTTGCGGATCGAATCCGCAAATGCTTTTGATGTCCTTCATACTTACCATCTGAAATTGTCAAGATCTATTTATCAATATTGCTCTTTGGGGCTTTTTATAAGAATAAATAATATTCTTTTTGTCGCAAACCCAAAGAACAAATGTAACGGTATATATAACTGTGAAACTCAAATTAAAAAATACGGAGATGTAGCATGATTGTCAAATTAATTAGACAACTACAATACCAGGCACAAAAGACCAAAAGATAAAGATGTAAAACTAAAAGAATGAGCAAAATCCGTGCCGCGCCGTATACATATATAACAAAAAAATTGCGAAAGCAAATTTACAGATCTAACATTGTTGGGCTGATGTTTAGACGAGTTGTATATACAGAATGTATACAGTCATGCATCACCATCACTGCTGGTGAGCCGATGGATAAATCTGTTGTAGAGTTGTCACTGGTTCAGACGTACTTATATATATATATATATATATACATGGGTTAGATAAAAAGCTTGTGACAATTGTACATCAGTAACAATGACCCTGATGAACCATTGACTGGTAACCAATGACTGGTTCTAATTCACATATTAGTCCATATAAATAGATACTGATAATGGTTTTTTTTTTCAATCGTGAATTTTTGATTATATAACTATTACCAAGGAATTGTATATATATTACATGTAGATTTTTAAAACAAGTTAATGATAGCTTTTCCTCATCTTCATCTGATCATTTCTTTAAACGCTTTGTTTGTATTGTTTAAAAAATGTTCTAGTAAATTGTCCCAGCTAAAACGAGAGTCATATATTTATCAACGTGACTGTTTCAATATGCACATTTTAATCAGACCTTTATCCAGATTCAAATTTCGTCCAAAGTGATTGTAAAGATTAAAGTTAAGCGACATTTAATTTGTATCTAGCCCACACCTTGAATTTCTATAGGAAATCACGTTTGTAATATACTAACACTGCTGTTGAGTCGATAGTATATGAATTTCTATAAGGATATCAAAATGAGTTCACAACAGTAAACATGTAAACAAAAACGTAGATAATGTTTCGCCTGAGAGCCCGCCAGACCCTCGGGTATATGAATGAAACCAGATAATTATTAGCCTCGTTTGAACATGTTTCTTACTCAAGCGAAACGTTGAAGTATAGTAACGATAAAGGGGAATCGTAAAGGATAATAATAGTTAAACTGTCAAACATAAACTAAAGTCTGAATGAGGTTTGCAGAATAGAGAATAATAAAAGCGTGTGAAAAATAAAGGTCGAAAAATTAAAGAATAGAAAAAAATAGACCAAAAAATAAAGAATAGAAAAAATTGTGTGCTAAGATATAAAGATTAGAGAATAATTGGCAAATTTTATAAAGAATGGAGAAAAATGGCTGAAAAAATTAAAGAATACAGAATTGAAGGACCCCATCAAGACTCTTATAAACGACTTCCTTCTTCCGTATTGTTTCACACACAAATATATGTCAGAGAAAATCAAAGGGAAATGAATACAAGTGTGATCGTTTTGAAAACACGTCGCTTTTAACACGTTTAGTGGCAAGCCGATTCCTTGTTTCACCGGTTCGGTATTCTATGACAACACTATATCGCAATCATTTAACAAATATTTATTTGAATCTATATATGTTTTAGCTTACATACTGGCTCTTTTACTAAAGGGTTGTGTTTTATTGGTTTTGTTTGGCCGATGTTTAACGTCAAGTGGCAAATATTTCATGCATATTCAGAACGAGGGTTTGTTTAGTTTGATAATGTCAATATATTATCAATTTTAAACATTTTTTTCTCTCTAAAAATCCTGCTTTGAAACCTTCGTATTTCAGTCATTGCAATGTTTTGATGTTCGATGATCAGGTCTGTCAACCCAGGCGGTAATTCAATGCATTTCTTTGGGACTATACATACTATGAGTACCAATTGTTGGGGAATACTAACCCATTTAGGAAATTTTTATCTTGCAGTAGTTTGTAATTTGATTGTCATTTGCAGTAAAAGAAAACAGTTAGAAGGCAGCTTTAAACGACAACTCTTATGGTATAATGCTAGCTTGACAATGAAGTGGTTCTGAACATGCATGGGAAAAAAAGTCTGGGTCCAGTTCGGTATTTGGAAAAAAATGTGGTAGAAGAAATTACTATGATAAGCAGGATGACATGGCGTGTCAGCCTTGTTCTCATTCTGAATGTGGTTGACAAAAGGCTGGTCCCAGACCACTTTTTGACAAAATTGTACCGTATAGTTGAACATCCCGAAAGATAATGAATATTTGAGGGAATCAACCTGGGTTAAAATATATCTAATCCATTTATTCACCGTTTTGGTCATTTGGGTTGCGTCACGCTTCCTTAAAACAAACCGCGTCGTTAAAATAGACTAAGATATATTCCTAAAAAGAAATAACACATCATTATTACAGTCGTATTGATTCAGAGGTATTTTGTCTGGAAAAATAAAAGTGTAAATACTTTTTTTATTGCCAACATGTTACACGGTACCACTGTTCATTGTCGGGATCAATTTTTATTGTATGAACAGAAATAGGCCTTATTAGTCAGGTGTTAAACCTCAATGACCAATAAAAAGTTTGGTTCTAAATATGAAAAAGAATCAGTATACTTCAGTTCTTATAAAAATATGTACGATCAAATTTGATCATCAAGTCGCACTTTTATCTTCCGGACTGTTTTCGTTGATTTGTTTTTAAAAATTTCAGTGCAGCACTTCACACAGTAGAATTAAAGAAACGGAGCGTAACCGGGTGATCGTAGCGAGACAATGGTTTTTTAGATGCTTTATGCCTAGAAATGATACTATACAAAAGTATTTGAACATGGTAAACGTGCAAAAAAGAACATGATGTCATAACATGCTTATGATCAATATGCATGTCTCGTTTCAATTTGGGTTTTTTTTTATCGATTTAGCATCATAGTGTTTTCGTTGTCGTCCACAACCCAAAAACTCTACTCACTGACCAGAGCGTAAGCGGACTTTTCCATGTTTTCTTGTCACGAAATAGAAGTTCCTTCATAATATTAGTTCCAAATGGAAAAAAATATTCTGGAATATTATTTCCACTGGAATAAATATTACAGTATATGTTCCAAACGGAATATATGGTATAGACACTAGTATTTTTTTGGGGCCCTTAATAGCTTGCTGTTCGGTGTGAGCCAATGCTCCGTGTTGAAGGCCGTATAGAATATTTGTTCCAACAGGAACAGATATTATGGCATTGTTTATAACAAAGTTTCCAGTGGAACTTCTGTTAGGCGGAACACATATACGTTGACATTCTGAGACTAATACTAATCATACTACATGATAATTCCTATCCTATGACAAACTGTCAATAAGTCAATGTATATATGTGTCATGTTACAATGATAGAAATGATTTCAGGATATTGTTATTTTAGACTGTTAGTAATAAAATATGAGAAATCAATATAAATGTAGGATATCGGTGTTCGTTTAAAAACGACAGGTAAACCTGTGACGTTCCTCTTTTACCTGTATTTAACATTCCGCAAATATTTACAACACCTCCCAGCGGACCATAGTAAAACTATAGACAAGACTCCGCCTGTCAACTCTCAGCGGTTCATCCAGGGTGACCAATCTTGTTATGCTTTGAACTACCCTAACAAACCGGTTGAAATTCGTCCCAGTGATTGTATAGACTTGGATCTGCTTGATTACATACATAGTGTAAAGAGGACTAATATTGTTCCTTTTGTGTGTGTGAACTCACTATAGAAAAATTTCCTTGAGGATTGCGGCCATTTTGGAATAGTTTTCAAACAAACTTGAACTTTTTAAGCTTTATTGGAGTTTCTACGCAAAACTGAATAGGAGCGACGATGAGTTCTAGAGAGGAAAGGTTGCTACAGGCGAAAATTGCCGAACAAATTGAGCGCTACGACGACATGTCTAAGGAAATGAAATCTATTGTTGAAACCGGTGATAAACCACTAACAGACGAGGAACGAAACTTGCTGTCGGTTGCTTACAAGAATGTCGTCGGAACTCGTCGTTCAGCATGGAGAGTGGTCGCATCGTTGGAGCAGAAAGCTATTGACAAGAAAGAAGAGGAGAAAAAACTGAAGTTATCGACAAAATACCGTGAGAAAATTGAGACCGAATTGAATGATATTTGCGATGAAGTGATCAGTTTATTGGATACTAACCTCATAGAAAAAGCCGAATCTGATGAATCTAAGGTATTTTATGAGAAAATGAAAGGTGATTACTATAGATATAAGGTAGAAGTTGCCGCACAAGCAAACAGGTCCGACTTAGCTGACAAATCTCGTGATGCATATGAAAAGGCCTTCCAAAAAGCCAAGGAATCCATGGGTCCAACAAATCCAATTAGACTTGGACTTGCATTAAACTATTCTGTATTTTATTATGAAATCAGGAATGAACCCCAAAAAGCCTGTGAACTAGCTAAATCAGCGTTTGATGAAGCTATAGGAGAAATCGAAACGAGCTCAGGAGACGATACAATGAAAGACAGTATGTTGATCATGCAATTGCTAAGAGACAATCTTACACTATGGTCATCTGAAATGGACGACGAAGGTCAAGATGAACAACAAACTCAAGATTGAACAAAAAATGTGATTAAGAAAAAAAAACAATTATGTGTCTAATGTGAAAGCGGAAGGGCATGATCTGTAAAACATTCGGATGACCTAAGTTAGTTTTTGATGACAAATTATACGTGTATGATTAGCAATAAGAAAAGTGTCGTAACCATCACAATTTAACAAAGGGTCGTGGCCTCCAGCTTTTTACATGTACAAGGTACAACATGTTCGTCTAATAACCTATGTTTGACAAATAATTGACATAACACTAAGATACATTGTATAACCATGTTATTTCGACTTGAAAAAACTTTTATTTTACCACATTAGGTCCATATAGGGTTTATTATTTCATGTTATGATTCCTAATGTTACTTACCTTTCATTTTGTTTTATTTAAAAGGTATCATTGTCATTCAAGTTTCAGTCACGTCGTCACCTCATTCATAGTTCTCATGAAATCCCTGTATGGATCTAGACACTTATTATAAATTGATTTTGGGAATTAGAAAATATTAACCAATGTATATTTTAAGATTAAATTAGTAAATCTTTTTATAATTTTGTATTTAGAGCTTCATTATTGTTCCTGGGACTAGTATAATAGTCCCAGATTGTTCACACGTATTATATCACCCTACCCACATACATACACATTAGATACAATGACAATTAAGACAAAAAGTCGCTCGAAGTACTGTATAAATATTAATATCGTTTGTCTGAAGATTTCTAGCATATCTCACCATTGTATGCACCTGTATGATTGCATTCCCCCTTTAGCCAGTGACACAGAAGTAGCTCTGTATACATGTCCATTGTTTCATTGTTCCTGGAACCCCTTCTCACGCTTATTTTAGTGATTAAATTATAAATGTGTTCATACAGACTTTTTAAGTTCATCTGATTTGGGCTAAATTCGAACCTATTGTGAACATAGCGAAATCAGAGACCTATTTAAATTAGATTGAATCACTGTCTTAAATCAACATGTCATCTTTTCTAGTGATTACAATGATCTTGATCGACATACAGTACTTGAATATGTATGATATATTTGACCGTGACTGGACGTTAAGAAAGAATAACTAATTGTGTTGCAATCTTTTATTTGTTAGGGTCGGGTTGTTCTTAACAAATTCAATACCAAGTGATAATGTGTTGATATATAATCTCTATATATTATATACTAGACTAGTAATCGTATTATTGCTCACGCGTATATTTGTACTTTGCAAGAGGAATTAGAACACGTAGATTTTTTAAAAAGTACATACTAGTACTGGAAAGACTTCGGAATTCATTTTAACCCCCTTTGGTTGACGAAATTAGCAAACTACACAGGTAAAGGGGGTTCAAATGGAAGTCTTGTCGCCAGTCCTTACATTTCAGTATTTCTGTAATTTTAAGTAAATTCAACGGACGGTCGCGGATCTCTGAAGCAGGGGATTTTTTTTCTGCCTTCTACCTCGGGATGAAATTTTGATAGGCGGTCGCGGGTCTCTGAAGCAGGGGACACGCTAGAAATTAGTTGAAAACACATTAATAACGCATTGAACATGTTGAAGGTATGAAAACAAAAACAAATAATACATTAATAACACAATATTTCAACGAAACTTGCAGAGCGTACTTAATGACATCGTTTACTTCCTAGTACAGTATTTTATTTCCCCGATCTATATATATATATATATATATATATATGCTTTTTGTTGGGAATCTCCCTAGCAAAGTTTACATCTACATACGGGGTATATAACTCTTGAAAGTGTGAGGGTGTGGTTGGGGTTTATAGATTAGAGAATAAAGGATGAAATTCGCAGAATAAATGGCCAATAAAATAAATGATAGAGAAAAATAAAGAATACAGAAAACAGAAATGAAGGATCCCCAATCCAGACCCTCATGCGTATCTCGTAGAGAACAAAGACGCCGGTTATACCCGATTTTGCTGATTATTAATTTTTTTAAATTGTGCAAGCCGTGCATAAACGCTCAGGAGACAATACTTGTACATGTTATAACTGTGACGACCTTTTATGTCATACTGAAGGTAAAGAGGTCTCTTGAGTTAAAGTGATCCTTCAATCTGTGAGTTTTACTATAGCATAGACACAGACACTTGTCTCGGATTATTTTTTACCTGTATACATGTACCTTAATATTAAGGTATAAAGGTAAATTTATTTCAGAGAGAAGTGCATGTGAGCATAAACCAATTGCTTCCTTATCAGACGACTCTAGATTTACACAATTTGGCAATACAAGTAGGACCCCCTCCCCCTCCTTAAAGAAGAAGGAAATAAATATAAAAACAAGTTAGCATGTATATTTTTTTCTGGTTTTCTCTTCTACGCTGAATTTATGTACACTAGATAACTTTTGGCATTTCGTGAGGTCGAATTTTTCTGCACTCTTTGTAACATGCATGGTTCAATGCATAAAATGTTCCTGGAATAGCAGTGGTCAATATTAGAGAATAAATAGGTTTGTAGTTCAGTACTTTGGGGCAATTTCCAGTAACTGACAGAATTCCTTAGTGTCGTATCACTTAGACTGTTGTGTACTTTGGTCGTCTAGAGTACCTGCTAGTATTGTGTTATGTTGCTTTTTTCTGCACTTGCGTTTATTGTGCACATATTTTATCTATTGATTGAAGGTTAAAATTGACTTGGTCTCCCGCATATAAATGAGATCATAGAGGCGGATTTAGGGCGACAGTGTGCCAGGACCCCCTTATGGAGCTACATTTATGATTAATGCAGACTTTTTACCTATTCCACTCCAAACGTTGTCTAGTTTGGGGACCCCGCCCCCTTTTTTCAAAATCCTAGATCCGCATCTGGTGATATCCTAGGCTAGGAACTTAGTCAGTCCAGTTGTTGTCGAAATCTTAATGTTGTTGTTCATTTAAATTATGAATTTTGAATAGGTGATAAATCATTGGTTGTTTTTTGATAAATTCCTTTACAATTTTATTGGCTTGGCATGTCGTAAAGACACTTACTAGTCTATTATTCAATTTTAAAATGGACCAGAAATACTGAATGACTTAGCTCCCAAGTCTGGAAAATTCTCAAACAATTCTTTAATATTATGTACACAACTTTAATATGCGTGCAATCTTTCTGAGAAGTTTGAAGAATCTGATAGATTACTGTTGTAGATTACACAAAATTGGTACTGTCTTTTATAAATTTTAACGAATAAGGTTAATGTTAAGCATAACACAACAATGGTAGGTACCGTCTCTTGTACTGAAAAATGACAAGTTTACATGTAAAAGTCTGGAAACATAGGAAAGATATCCTCATACAATTCAATTCCAGCAGGAGCACAACCTCCATATATATGTTTTATCTCTCTCAGACGTTTCATAGATCTGGCCTGAAAACTGTAGGAAGAGTTGAATACACAAAATAGGTTCCCCACTTTTCCACCCTTACCGACATTACTATACTATGTAAGCCAATTTTGCCCTTCATGCAACCCGGCCAAAAAAAAATAAGTGGTGTGATTGTCCGTGAAACAATTAGCCACCAAAGACCAAATAGCAAGGATGTATAAAAAGCAAAGGCCAGCAATGATCAAACTTTATAACATGTAGTAAGCAATACAAGGCACAAGGATGAGAAAATGTGGTTTATCACATTAAACTTTTAACAATTGTTACAGACGACAACCATCGACTATCACAGGAAAACATGATCTTGGCTTAGGACAGGCACATAAAAAGTGTGACATTATCACGGGGGGTTAACGTGTGTGAGTGTTCTAACCCCATAACCTTGCACAATTTTGTAACAGCAAAACATTATAACATACAGTAAAAATAAATTGAAAAAGGCATTTTGCTGAACTCTATAGATAAAATATTTAGGTGCTCTTTGGTAGCTGTCTCACAAAAACCAAAAGACTGACCAGTTACGCACAATATATAAGAGATAAAATAAGATAAATTTTATTTCCCAGTTTCGCACATTATATAAAAGAGATAAGATAAATTTTATTTCCAATACAGGACCCATAATAGGCAAATCACTACAATGATAAGCACATTACACATTTATGATATATATAATACAAAAGAAAACAGTTCAAATATGGAATACATAACGAATTAATAATACAACCCTAAGCCATTATGTTCAGTGTTCGTTGACCATGCACCAGAAGCAACATCATGTCCATTATGAAATAAACTTTTGTGAGTTAAGTCCTCCTCGTGGCTGATGCAGATGAACGCATACTATAGTTATCCAAACGCAGGAGTCACAAAGGGCAATTGCTAAAAGGACACTCAACTAGTCTTATCTAGTCCTTTCGTGCCTGAGGCACACGGACAATGATCCAAATGCAAGAGTCACCATGGGCAGGTGCTCAAAAGACACTCTGATGTAAATTGTTAAAATGTGTTGCAAAAGTTATTTGTATTTGAAAAAAAACACTGATATGTCCATGTTTTCCGTTTGAATGGTTTTACACTAGTAATTTTTTGGGGCCCTTTATAGCTTGCTGTTCGGTGTGAGCCAATGCTCCGTGTTGAAGGCCGTACCTTTACCTATAATGGTTTACTTTTATAAATTGTAACTTGGATGGAGAGTTGTCTCATTGGTACTTATACCACATCTTCCTATATCTATGTGAGCATTTTTTGTAAGGTTTTGTTTAATCGGTTTAAATGACGTGCAAAAACACACACATATTTGAAAAAAAAGGTGTCTAAATCTGATGAAAAAAATAGCTTGCCTAAGCTAAATGTTTGGTTCTTTACACATTAAATTACAAAACAACCAAAATGAACGTAAGTAAAAACAATAATCGGATTAAAATACATATCATGCGTCCACGCTATGCTTTCCTTGCACAGGCACTTGTCTCAGAAAAAAAAATCCTATATATGTTATATTAAGGTATATAGGAAAAAAAATTTCTGAGACAAGAGCCTGTGTTTCCTTGTAAGCGAAACGTGGATACAGGATCTGTATATTACCCATACTCCCTGATTGTAATAAGAAGTTGTAGAAAACTGTACATCCTAGATTCTTTTCAACTGAGCGGTTCTCAGATTGGAATGTTAGAATATTTCAAAGAACCATTATCTTTTTCGTTGTTCTTCATTTTGAAGAACATGCAAATGACATGTTATATTGCCATCATCCTATGGCACTTTCCCTGTACATTACATTCACTAACTGACGCCTTTAAACTTGTTCACCAGGGACGTCTATTGTATAGGCACGGGTTTGTTATCTTTACTATAGCAAATAAAAACTTAAGACTTATTAAAACTTGGTCACTTTAATCGTTATGTACAGGAAAATTATAAACAAACCCGCTTTATTAACCATGGATTTATGTAAACACTTGTTAGTTTATTACGATATCTACAACATCAAGGATTTAATAATAAAATAAAATTCGTTGTTAACATCTTATCTTCTCTTTTTTTTACAAAATACTTTCTTTGAAATTCTACACCCACACATACTAGCTGCAAATAATGTGCAAATGCGTTACCGAAATTAACCAGTCATAGCAACTATTGTAACTGCATTAATTATA